TTGCCCCCCCCTAACAACCAAGTGGATCCGCCAGTGAGTGTTATACCATTGTCGCGGGGCCTGTTTGAGGCCGTAGATGGCTTTGTTGAGAAGGCAAACGTGATCAAGATTGTTGGTGTCCTCAAATCCTTTTGGTTGTAGCATATATACTGTTTCCGATAGCGAGCCATGAAGAAACGCATTGACGACGTCCATTTGTTGAACGAGCCAATTATGTTGTAGTGTCACGGCAAGAAGAATTCTGATCGTAGGTAGTTTTGCAACCGGACTGAACGTCTCCGTGTAGTCCAATCCATATTCCTGATGATTACCTTGCGGAACGAGACGAGCTTTGTATTTGGCTATTGATCCGTCAGAGTAAAGTTTGGTGCGGTAGGTCCACTTGCATCCCAGGATAGACGAATTTTTTGGCCAGGGGACAAGGATCCACGTGCCTTGGAGCTGCAGTGCTAGAAATTCTGCAGCCATCGCTTGTTGCCATTCCAAGTGCTTGTTGGCTTCAGTGTAGGTAGATGGAGCGGAAGGGCAATCCTGATGAATCTTGTGATGAATTAAATTGAGACGATTTGTACGTTTTAGAGGTCTTATATCTGGTGAGCATGGGGTGATTGGCGTTCGGAATGCTGGGAAGTTCGGAAGTGTTAGCCTGAGTTGGAGAGTCAGTGACTGCTGATTGATCTGACGTGGGGGCGAGAGGTAACTCCGGAGTTTGTGTGGCTGTTGAACCAGAAACTGTGTGAGTTGAAGCGTTTGTTTTCTGAACCACATAAATTGGTGTGAGAAAATTCGACGAGAGCTGATCAGTTAGTCATTGTTCATATACGGGCTTAATGTTAAGAAATGGATAACAGTTTTCGTCAAATTTAACGTGACGAGACAAGATTAGTTTGTGTGCGAGATCTAAGCACTTATAGCTTTTGTACTTATCCGAGTAGCCCAAGAACACACACAGCTGAGATTTCGGTTGAAGTTTGTTGCGAAGAGGAGCTGGTTTGAGAGGGAAGCAAGCGCAGCCGAATGTTCGGAGATGATCATATTCGGGCACCCGATGATGAAGTAGTTCAAACGGATATGTGTTGTTGGTGTTTGGAGACGGCATTCGGTTCACAAGGTAAATGGCAGTTAACACGGCGTCAAGCCAGTAGGAGTACGGGACGGACGCGGTGTACATGAGAAACCTGGTTGTCTCAATGAGATGCCTGTGCTTGCGTTCTGCTATGCTATTTTGTTCTGGCGTGTATGGGCAAGAAATCTGATGAGAGATTCGATGCTGTTGAAGAATCCGAGTGAATGCATTACTTAAATATTCGCCGCCGCCATCTATCCTAATACATTTAATTTTGTAAGACGTGAAAGTTTCTATATATGATTTAAACGTGCTAAAAATGTTAGGTACTTACGATTTATGCTTCATAGGGAACAACCAAGTAAAACGTGTGTGGTCGTCAATAAATAAGACATAGTAAAGAAAATCATAATTAGATGGCACGGGTGCAGGACCCCACACATCAGAGTGAATCAATTCAAGAAGCGAAGTAGATCTATGCTTTGAAGATTCAAACACCAATTTATGAGTCTTAGCCTTATTACAAGAATGACAGTTATGGGAATGTATATCTATATGCAAGTGGGGTTGAGAAGAAGCAATATTATGATGCGTTCTCTGGCTGGGATGGCCCGTCCTATTGTGTCATATGTTGGAGACCTTGCTGGTTGCATGAAGAGCATGTTGCTTGATGGCTATCGGTGTCCTAATCCGGTACAGCCCCTCACGGCAGGGTCCTTGAAAAATGACTTGATGCGTCGTCAAATCTTTAAAAACAAAACAGGATGGATTAAATATAATGGCAATATTATTGTCCTTCGTTAGTTGAGATATCGAGAGCAAATTGTAATGAATTGACGGAGAATGAAATATTTGAGATAAGTTTAACTTACGAGAGGGAGTCGGTAGCAAGCCCTTCCCGGAATTTGCTATACCTACCAAACTCCCGTCGCCGATAGTAATACCGTCGGTCCCATTGTAGGGACTTGATATGGACAGGTTGTCCAGCGATTTCGTCAAGTGCGAGGAAGCACCGGAGTCAAACCAATCGGTGTATTCAGAGGATTGTTTTGCCATCGGGGCTTTAGTTGATGGTCACGGTTTGGGAACGAATTGGACGTTCATCCTGTGCTAGCAATCGTTCCCCGTGTGCCCCTTATTTAGACAAATTTGACAGGTCGGAGCAGGTATAGGAGATTCTTTAGTGGAAGTGTCGGGCACCGCAAGATTTGCTAAATCTAACGCCATGTGAATCTCTTCGGTGATGAGGAAGGAGTACAGCTGATCAAGATTTAGCGGTTGAGTCATGGTCCGAATGGACGTCTTGAATGATTGATGGTTGGGAGGGAGTCCTCAGAGAATGTAAAGAATTATGTCTTCCTCATCAATGTGACCGCCGGCAGCTGCAATTTGATCAACCAGTGACTTAACTTCGTTTAGGTATTGAACCATAGTCAGGTTCTTGAGGGAAACATTGTGAAGTGCATTCTTTAATTGAATGACTTTGGATCTATTCGTGGATTGGAATCGGGTTTGAAGGGTTGTCCATATAGCCGAAGTGGTGTCAAGATTGAGGATGTAAGGTAAAATAGAAGCAGATATGGTGGAGCATAGTGATGCTGCAAGGTTTTGATCATTTAGAACCCATTGAGCATAAGAGGGATTTGGAACGATCGTACCATCGGCTCGATGAAGATTTTTGTCAGGTGCCGGAGACAGTGGATCAAGAAGTGATTAAAGTCCATTCGCAAAGCAGATTTTAAGAATCTGCGAACTCCAGAGCGGATAGTTGTCCGGAGAGAGAAGGTTATGCACAGTGTTCTTGAGATTAGAAAGTACAAATTTGAGAGAAGAAGATAGAACCGGAGTTTTGGAGTTAGAAGTGTTGGATTGTTCGCAGAGCGTGGAGGTTGTTGTCGATGCCATGAAGCCCAGAGATCTTCAAGATCTGTCTGATACCATGAAGAAGCTCATGATCCCGTGAATGCCGAGAAGAAGGCTCAAGAACGGGAAGGCAGTGAAGAATTTAGAAAGATAGAGTATATCTTATTATTATTCACCGGAATAGTACAAGCTAATATATATAGAGTTTAGGCATAGCAGTAACATATTTGGCTACATATAGAGATACACACTAGTCAGAATACATGTTGATTTATTGCTCTAATAATGGTATTATGGACTTGACTAAAACCTACGGGTAAGCACACTACGTTACGCCATGATACCAGATAAGAACTTCTTGAGCTGCGGCAGTCATTATAACAATTAAACGGTCCACTTTTATGGTGACAACTAACAAGTGAAAAATAATCAACATTGATATCATTGGAGGGAGAAATTATTCTGTGAGGAGTTTGAATATAAAGGATCTTCCAAATTACTAGACACACTACATACGCTCTGCTTACACTCTGCTTTCACTATGCGTATTTGTAGATACACAGTAAATAAGTAGCAAATGATTTGCTACTTATTTACTGTGTATCTACAAATACGCAGTATATACACAGTAAATATGCAAAACGTATGCAGAGCTTACGCATAAAGTACATAATAATCCGAAAGATTCTCTATGTTCGGACTCCGCACAGAATAATTTCCCCGTTGGAGGATCTATTATACCAATCTTCATATACTCGATTAAAAAAAATTATATGTTGAGATTTGTGAAGGCTATGAATGATTTTAACACTTCTCAAAGTCTCAAAAGCCTTTTCAGCCACACTGCTATTTTTGGACATGCAAAATAGAGAATTCAATTGAAAATAACAATAAGGCAATCCAATGTTGCAGTGACAAGTTAAAGTTCCCTCTGTTACATATCAAGAAATGAAGGAGAGAGGAGAAAGAAAGCCGAGACTTTCAGAGTGTTTTCACATCAAACCGGCCTTAAACCATGACCGAGTGCTGCCTTCCATACGATATCTATGCGATCGACATCGATTGCGCCGACCTCATGATGTGTCCAGCCTTCCAAACAATGCACCACTCCTCCAGCATGGCAAGCATGCACAACACCTCGATCGAGCGTGTACTGTATCATTCATAGTTTCCAAGTAAGAAATGTTTGTTTATGTTCTACTTCCTCTGTTTTCAAATGCTGAATCCACAAATAAAAATGGAGTTTGAATGATCATCACCTATGTTGCACCGACACACCTATTTATGAAGTCCTATTGTATCCTATACATCGATGCATGGATAAGCCTCCGATACGGCACCGATATGTGTCGGATACGGCTTTGTCGTATTCAATTAAATATTATTTAATATCAAAAGGACACGCTATTGAAAAACAAAAAAAAATCCAAAAAAAGACATGTCGTACCTAGTTCCGCGGTTGCAAGCGAGGTTCTCTCATTTCCGAGATGGATTTGAGTCTCTTGATGATATGAGAATATTAGAAATTGCTAATCTTTTACTTGATGAGCTTGAATTAGAAACTATGATATTTATTGAAGATGATATAGAAGTAAAAAGACAAACTACTGAATAAGCTAATCATACTAGTCATTCTATTGAATAGTTAAAACTTCATGTGCTAGCAATTTATGTTTATGCTTTTGTTTATGTACACTTGTACTAGACATTTAATGCTTACTTTTATTTTGACATTTTAAGCTACAAGGCTACAAACGATGTTGATTTCATTTTTTTTTGTAATTTCAAATATTATGTTTTGATTGCTTTCTTAATTTTTATGTATGATTTATAAATTATAATGTCGTGTCTACGCCCTACCCGTATCCTATATTTTTAAGAAATGACGTGTCCCGTAATCATATCGTGTCGTATCCGTGTCGTTGTATCCGTATCGGTGCAACATAGATCATCACCAAGTAAGATTACCTCACACATGCCCAGGCCTCGAACATCTAAGGGGAGCTTCATTGCAGCTAGTTTCCCATAGGTGCAGTCCCGTCGAAAGCCGATGATGGGAGGGACAACAAACTGGTGGAAGTGAGTTCCAGTTGGGGCAAACCTTTGTTCTCTGAAAGTAATCCACTTGCCCACAATCCATGTCTATGGCCGGTGCACAATTTTGTTAGTTGATTACGAATTTGTACATAAAATTATCTCTTATATGTTAGAATGTAGGTTTGTTTACATATCAAACCTTGCAATTTTCTGCAGCTTGGTATTTTGTGACTTGGACCAGGTATTGCTGGCAATCTTCAGGAGCTTCCTTCTGTATCAATTGGAATCTTTCAGTAGAAAGGGTCAGCATCTGACATTGCCACAATAATAATAATAAGTCAAATGATCACAAAACAATTTTGCATATTTGATCAATATATATATATTCTTATCTTGCTTAACAATCACTTTTATTATTAACAAGATGTTGGCTAAACTATATTTGGAGTACAATTATACTTTTTTTTTGGCATAAAAATGACTTTCTTGAAACTCTAGATGATATATTCATTTGTGTTGTTGTGAATTTTACCACTACACATCATGCTATTAACTTTATGTTATTATTATTGTTATTTTATTTTTACATCTAAATTGCAAAACTAAGCATGAATTCAAAGTCTTCACAATTGTAACTCACTTCCGACTTTTATGCAATTTATGTCATCCACTTTCTATCAAATAAGCATTTGGACTTTGTTTTGGAACTGTATTACAATCACTTTCAACAATAATAATATCAGGTCTTTATCCCACTACATGGATCAGCTATTACATGAATCATGTTACTTCATCGTATCATATTAAGAGTCAAATTCTATTTTAAGTCTAGTAAAAAAAAAAAGATTACTCTTAATATTTTTTAACCAAGTATTTTTAGATCTACCTCTACCTTTCGAACCACTTTCAAGTTCTTATTAAAAAAAACTAGCCCTTGGTGATATTGGATTGAGCACAAAATGCAAATGAATAATAAGATAACATAGAAAGAGAATGGACTCTTGAAATACGTGGATCTTAATACTAAATTATTTCTCACCAAGACTTGGACTTTCTTCCTGCAAAGGTACAATGCAATTGCCCTTCCAAGCTTAGATGTAGCTCCAGTTAGGAAGACCTCTTTCACATTCTTAGGGATCTCATTAAGAATCACAGCAGCTGTTAGAGTATTTCCATGGACAACTCTAACCTTTAAATTGGGATGTTTGTTGACAAACAAAGTCCCACCACCATTGAGTGCTTCATTCTGACAAAAAAATAAAATAAGATAATTAATTAAATTTGTATTTTTAAAAACATTTTAGTAATTTTGTTTCACATGACTTAAAAATCAGAACAATGGTCAGAATGAGAAAGTTTAGATACATGGCTAAATGAGAAGCGTCAAGACTATAGATAGGAGGGATCCATAAGAAATAAATAAGTATATGATCATCAAAATAAAATTTACATGGAAAGTCTTTCACATGTAAAATCACTTAAAATCACTTAAAATTTGCATGGGGAATCTGATTGTGTTGATCAACTTTGCTGTTATATTGTCTCGAACCTCAAAGCTTATATTGTACATCGGTAGGTGCGGGGGTTTACCTCCTGCTTGGGTAAGAACCTGAAAAAGAAAAAAAAAATCTATACAACAACCCGGCGTTGTGTACCCGAGCTCCCCGGCGTTGTGTTCTCGAGCACCCCAACGTTGAAAAACATATAGCAGAGCGCCACAACGGCCTAGATATGGCGCCGCAAGGCTTCAAACTGGCGCCGTAGCACTGTAAGACGAGCTTGACATTTTTCTTTCTCGTTTTTGGAAGGGTTGCATCCCTTGGAGTTTATTTACTAGGCTTTCTCTTGTATTTTAAATTAGGGAAAGAGCGAGAAAAGTGCATTTGAGGATAGAAGCAAGGAGAGAGTGAGAGAGAAGAGAGTTATGTACTTATTTCTCCCAATTTTCATAGTGAATTTCTTGGTTAGGCGTAGCTCCGTTGTTTTTTTCCCTATTTTGGATTTTCCATGTTAAATATGGTGTCATTTATTTTTCCATTGCTTTTACTTTCTTGCCTGTTTCATCATTGTGGAGTTTACTCCACATCTTCCCCTCATCTTCCCCAAAGAAGGTAATCCTCAATTTTAGCTAACTTTGAGTTGAGTAAAAAGTAAAAACTGTAGATTTTAAGTCAAGTTTCAAATTGATTTAAATAAAATGTATTAATTTCATAAAATTAATAATCAAGATCATCGTGCGTGTGTATATATATTTATTTTATAAAATATATTTATTTATTAATCAAGATCATTGTTGTTGTGTGTTTGTGAGTATATATATAAAAGCATCTACATGTACTATTCATGTGTTACGTAATTTTGAATAGACATATACATTTGTGCATATATGTGCATAAATCATATATCAAGCCAATTTTGAGTTGAACCAAACAAATTTCAAGTCAATCATCTGCGAATCGAAGCAAATCAATTTTTTATTTTAAGTCGATAAAAGCTCAAGCTATTATCAAGATGATTATCAACCATATTCTATGCCTCTAATGCTCTCATCTGCCCTCCTCTTGAACGTTAGTGTGACCAGATACATAATGAAAACACATACCCTATTAAAATGAATCCAACTAAGTGTTTACTTGGGAGGTTGTAAAGGGATAACACCCACAATCTGGGTTCAGGCCAGAGTCTCAAACTAAAAAATAAATTCTATGGAATACTTTGATTATGCGGATTATTCTATTGGTCATTCTATAGGAAATCATGAGGTAAATTTAATATTTTCTACTCTAGTGTTGGTCATTCTTGTTTCTTCCCTATCTCAGTAATTTCTGTTTTTCTCTAAGCCAGCTGGGTCTTTATGGTATCAGAGCCCATCAATGGCGGATCAAGATTCGGCGGCTTCCTTCCCACCCACTTCCAATCTCTCAGCCTCCCTATCTGACTTCATTTTTCCCGCCCTTTGAAATTTTTGATCTCTAATCTCAAGAATCTAGTTCCCACTCAACTCACAAATGACACCTATGCTATATGGTGGCTTCAACTCATTCAACATTTCTCTGCAAATGGCTTTGCCGGACATCTCACCGGCGCCACCTCTTGTCCAACTGACACGTAAGCTGCTGACGTGGAGGTAGTACTAACAATCCGGGCCTCTAGTTCTTAACAAAAAGTCTCAAACATTGTAATTGCAACTTAAAGAAATATATAATAAAATTTATGAGGATGTGGATGTAGAGAGTTAAAGATATATATAAATAACAAAAAATCTCCATTTTTTAATTCGTGTATAGTCTCTATTTTTTCTTTAATACGTGTAAAGCCTGTATGTTTTTGCTTTAATATGTGTTTTGTTTGTCGTTCAATTAAATTCATCCAAGCCCACCGACTGACCAGCACACACACACGCACGCATAAACACAAAGATGTAAAAGACAGAAAGAAAGGCTTGAAGTTTTAACCTTATTTAGTGCAGCAAGGCTGAGGACCTTCACTCCCATCCTATCTGCTCTCAATATGGCACTCTCAATCTGCTCATTGATGCCATTCTTAGCAAAAGGTAGAAAGTACTGCAAAAGAACAAGGAGAAAAAAATTTTAAAACCAAAAACTTACTGTAGGGGTGTCAATTTTGGGTCACGGGTCAGGTTCGCGTCGAACCCGTAATTGACCCAACACTATTCGGGTCAACCCGAACCCAACCCATTTTTTGCAAACGGGTCGCTTTTTCAGACCCGACCCCGCTTCGGGTCCAAATCAACCATATACGACCTGAAGGACCCGGAACCGTGAAAAAATTGCTAATTTTCGGGTCAAAAACAGGGCAAAATCCGCTTTTCGGGTCAAAATGAGTCACTTTCGGGTCAAAGGGCTAACTCGAACCCGACTTAATTATTGAACCCGACCCAACCCGTTTCGGGTCCGGGTTGACCCTAACCCAAAATGTTTGGGTCGGGTTCGAGTTGGGTTTCCTCTAGAATATTAAGAGTTCAAAGTTTGTATAACCTGAAAGCCAATTCTGGGCACCACCCAATACTGGTGCAAACGACCATGGAGATTGTAGAAGGAAAGCAGAAAGGTTTTGGAACATGCCCACATTACCAACATGATGAGGAAGGCCCCTGGCCAGAGGACAAGAATGAAAGGTAGAATTCTGAATGGCATAGAGCTGAAAGAGCGGAAGGCGAAAGAGGCATGCATGGAGGACACTGCATCAACTGCATGTGCTAGGAAGACAAAGTCAGGAACATGGATGTTCTTCCCTGCATCCAAAGCAATGGACACAACCTCAGAACTGGACTAAAATAAGTTAAATAATAAGCCTAGTTTAATAGATAGTCATCAAATAGAAATATTACAAGTATAGCCATAATGTAGTAATGTATGAACATTTATAAAAAAAAAAAAAAAATTTTAAATAGTTATAAAATATCTTTAACATTTTGAGTGTACATAATATGAAAAAGTATACTAACAAACTGGTTCCTTAAATAGAATACTGAGCTTACTGCTTAGCATTTAATACCCACGGAATTTTTTTTCCCAGATATAGGAGGTCAGATGTCACTAGTTTGTGCAAGTGGGGGAACCAAGATATAGAACCCTCCGATTTCATAAAAAAAGTGTACCTGAAACTATCTAATCTAATCTATAAAGTTCAGAGATTTGATTAACATCAGGTATCCAATTACAGCATTAGTTTATAACCATTCAAAAGGTTTGAAGGTTATGCAGAAAGCAATTAATTAATGAGAGGAAGAAATATTTATGATTGTATTTTATCTTTAAAGAACTTTGGAGAAATCACAAACCTGAGCTTATTTCTTTCTGTAAGGACCAAGATTTAGTATTGATGGTTCCACCTAATGCATCAAATAAAGGCATAAAGAGGCAGTAATTCGAGTTCTTCTCAATGTGATGAATGCTATGGTACCTGAAAGAAGAAAAGTATCACAACCAGAATGTCAATCCATGAAAAAAGGCAATAAAGGATCTGCTCAAGTACAGGTAAATAAGCTATTAAAGGTACAGATACCAGATTAGAAAGTTACCCTTACGATGTGTGGAGCAAATCATTTATCAATATTTCTCTCAAATAAGATTGGATTTCAAAATCATTTTAAATCATGACAATCATGGATAAGTTATAATAGACTAAATCTAGTTTTAACTTGCAAGTTCGGTTGCTACCAAACTTAAGATCAAATTCACATCTTTCTTGGTTCCTATTAGCTTTATACTTGCCATTTCTTGAAGATCTATCAAAAGAGATGAAATCAAAGGCTATGAGTGCATCTCTTAACTTCTCCTCAAGAATGCCATCAAGGGCAACAAGGGCCTTTCTCGGTTCAAATGGAAGAGGTTAGCAGGGAGCTACTAAGCTCATTGGTGGAGAGATTAAAGGCAATCATCAACAATAGTGCCCCTCCCTTCAGTTAATAGGAGGTAGTCAGTAGTGAGGATATTTGCCTGAGGTCAATCGGAAGGACATCGAGCTCTTAGTGATCGAATATTTTGACCGGCAAAGGAGAGTAGCCAGTGGTTGAGTACTCGTGGCTAGCAATGTAAGATAGTGAGGAGGTTGGCAGCCAAAGCAAGAAAAAGTTAGTGGCTTTTAGAGAGATGGCAATGGGTGGGTGTGTGGGCATGCAATTTAAACTATGATGAAAAGCAAACAAGTTGACGTAAATTGAAATTACATAGAAGTGAAAGAAGGGAAAGTGTAGCAAGTATATGATATATTATCACATTATATATAATATTTGATATTATTTGTACTTGAGATTTCATTATGGTTTGGTTTCAATGAAATAATAATTTCTTTCATCCTATCAAGAATCTATATTACTCTTCTTTTCCAAGATCCTGAATAACCATCATAATAGCTAAGCTATGGTCAAGGGTGTCCTTTATATTACATTAATGAAACAATTACAATTGGAATAAATCACATGGTATTTCCCAATTGTGGATTTTCCACATAAAAATTATATTTTATGTGCATTTTGTTTAACTTATTTATATATGGAGATTTTCATACAGCTTTAAAACATTAAAATCATCATTATTGTTTTGAATATTCCAATAAATAAAATTCATAAAAGAACCAATAGAGTTAGGTAGTAATTTTTTATTTTAAAAACAGAACCACATAAGCTGCCAAACGACTTCGATGACATTAAATTAAACAAAAAAATATGTTGAGAATAGCATTTCCCGTGAATTGTCTTTAGGTAACTGCCCCCAACAATAGTAAAGAGAATTCATTATTGAATTCCAAAAATATCCTTCAAATCAAAATTTGTTTCGGAGGGTTGCCCCCTTTGACCCCCGACATATATGCCTTATAAGTTTGCCCCTCTTAAAAATTAGGGCCGGTTCCGCCCCTAATCTTGGTAGATTAAATTTTATATTTCTAGAACCTATGACTCATCCAAAAGCAAAGCATCTATTAGTAATTCCCAAAAGCTATGGAGGAAAGCCAAATCAAGTTCACAACAAGCAAATCAAACCCTTTAAAGCAGTCAATAAATGGAAAGGTAAAATATTCACTTACGTAGGAGTGTAGATAAGGTATCTAAGCAAAGGAACAGCTTCAAAGAAACCGCTTGGGAAGATCTCCACATTGGAATGTCCCATGCACCTCAAGAAATCGAATAGCAGAACATAGACATAGAAGAGCCCAACAGAACCAGCTCCCATTAAACCAGCACCTATCAATGGCAACCCCATTACCAAGCTCATAACCATATACTCCACCGGCGTCCCATGCCCAGCTGAGAAATACAACAAAAACCATAGCCGATCATTCATGTTTATCTTTACATAAAAAACAGAGCAACGTAGAAAAGACTAGAGGTGTACCTGTAAACGTGCTGGGAACTGGAGATGAGTGGTGGAGAGAGTGGTAATAGTTAAAAAACCGTCCACTATGAAAAGCCCTATGAGTACAGTAAAACAGAGGCTCTGATATCCCCACATGAAGAACAAGAGCAATGAACAAACCCCAGATATCCCAAACAGGGAGCTTTCTCAAAGAAGGAAAGAAGTAGAAAGCCAGTGCAGCAATGAATGCTTGTGGTATGAAAAAGTTGTCCCTGAAAGAAGAAAAACAATTAAAACTTGCAACTTTTAAATATTCTCAAAGATCAAGAAAAGCTTACCAGTCCCATTCCCTGTCTATTTGTTTAAAATCTACACCCTCTTTGATAATGCGCCTTTTCCTGGTTAAAAAAAGCATGCTACTGAATGTCCACCACAGCTGGAAAATGAGAGCTCTAAGAGCAAAGAGGATGAGGATATGGAGGCACCAAACTCCTTCTGTTTTTCCTCCCTCCCATGCTTTGGAATGGATGACCTTTGCAACTAAAGGGCCATAGAGGAGATACTGCAAGCAAGCAAAAAAACATGTCGACGTTAAACTTAAAAGAGTAGAAAAGTTGAAGATAAAGAAGGAGAGAAGGCCTTGCTTGCCTTGAAGGAACCAAGATTTTGCCATGGCCAAGAAGAGAGAGGAGCACCCATTTGGAGTTGAAACAAAGGCTTTTGATTTGGATTGTGTTCTTCTCTCCATGGCTTCGTGACACCAACTGATATTAAAGAGGCCTATTAAAGATGCACATAAAGCAGAAGAGTGATGAGGCCCGCGATTTAAAAAAATAAAGGAAAAAGAAAAGAAGTGATCCGTACTGTTAAGGTTAATATCATAATTTGTCCTTATGAAAAAAATAAATAATATTTTAAAATATTAAATCTTTTTTATAAAATAAATGGAAAGTTATCTAACTACATTAAAATAAAACATATTTAACTTTATTTTAACCTAATAAATGACACTAAAATTTAAATTTTTTAGAATATTAAACAAAAAAATCTCTCAATATATGCATATCCAAAAATAATAATAAAATTCATAATTATTAAGAAAATCATACGAACAATATTTAAAATTTTAATATTATGATATTAAAGATTTTATATCAGTTGTGTCATGGAATATTCATGACAGTAGAGAAATAAAGAACTTAATATCTTAGTTTTGAATGAGGATATAACACAGAAATAGATAAGAGAGAGGGGTGTGAAAGTAATAAGAGACCAATATTTTTATGTGGAAAATCTAAAAAGGGGAAAAACTATTGGGCAACTCACTTAAAAATGATTCCACTAGTATTTGTAGCCGATTACAAATGATGTCCTTAGTAGGGGCATTGGCTCAATATAGTAAGTATACATTATATAGAGCATATTATATTGTGAGAGTTGAGAAAAATCCAGTGATATGAGAATTGTTCTCATGAGAATATTGGCATGTTCATTTGGTATGTAGGACCATAGTCAACGGGCAATGGTGGTCGGAGGGATCATAGTCGGCAGCGACAAAGGGCACAAGGACCATTGTCGACGGGCAAGGAAGATCAAATTGACCATAACCGGCGATGTTTGTTTGATGTACTATAGTTGGTAGGTAATGATGGTCGGAGTGGGCCATAGTTGGTGGACTACGGTGGTTGAAGGGATTATAGTCGAGCAACAGTGGTCAAAAGAATCATAGTTGACAGGCAACGGATGTCGGAGGGGTCGTAGTCAGTAGGCAACGGTGGTCAGATTGGATCGTAGGCGAGGATGTCATGCCTCATAAATAAGAAAGATCAAGGACATATTGAGAGTATTTCAATGGACGGCCGATATCAATTCACATGATCATGAATCGTTTATTAAATGTTTGAGTGTCTTAATGATATTAGATTTCGACGATCTTTGGCTAGTTGGATTTGCCTCGTTGAGCCGCTTGATTCAACTATACACACGTCATATTTGGTCATCCAATTAATGCTTTGAAAGCTTCCAAATAGGCTTTGAACCTCTGATTTGGACTATGATTGGATCAAATTTAGTGTTGTTGGGTCCGTCACCTTGAGATGTTCAATTCGACTATAAACTTGTTAAAATCATAGTCTGAATGATCTCGGATTTAATTTTAAAAGTTTTTTATTTATAATAATTGCATTGAGATTTACATTTGACTAAGATAATTTTTTTATTACATATCAATATCTAAATTTGTAACGATTAAATATCAATGACTGTTAGAAATTCTTAAGATTATTATCACAATTTTGAATTCAAAATTTTTCTATACTACAAATTAATTATGCAAAGTTGCAAACTCATTCAACCAAAAACAAATCTCTCGAGCCTAAGCTATTGAAAAAATTATTAGATGCGGAATGCGCACTGTCCGCACAAGCACTAGGCACTTAGCGGTACCTAGCAGTACCGAGTGCGGGTACCGCTAGGTACCAAATACTTGTACGGACAGTTCACCCCGTCCGCACTCCGCACCTAATAATCTCTCAAGCTATAGCTACTCTCATAAGAAGCTCAAGAATACACGCCAAGTCTCAATCGGCGTCTCACTGTTTGTAGTTATGCTCGTCTTATTTTGAACTTATATTTGACAATGACTAGAGCTTGTATATATTTTTTTTTAGATAATTTTCTGATTGTTTGATTTTTTAGATAATAATTATATTTTTACTTGATTATTATTTTTTTTATATTTTTATAATAAAATTTTATTTTTTACATTCAGAATTGTTGATGTTTTATAGCGTAAAAAAATAATTATACT